AAACGTCTGGGCCAAGACCGTCGCGACGCCAGCGGTGCGCGCGGGCCGAGCCCTCCGCTGAACCTCGAACTTGGACCGCGTGACCTTCACGGGAGCATCCTTCAGTGCGTCTGCATTCCTGTAGATTCCTCTGATAATAATAATGGCAGTGGGCCCCAGGAGGGGCCGCGGGGGGGGGGGGGGGGATTCGCCGGGCGACGGTGAGAAAGGGGGGGGGGCGGGCAGAAAAGGGCAACGGGATGCGATGGGGCGGCGCAGATAATCGCAGCCCTTCCGGGCGCGAGGTGGCGTTGGGAATTCATTTTTCCAGCGATCTCCTCGCCCCGCCGTCTCCCCGGGCCCCCCTGCGATGCCTTGCGAAGCCCCCCGTGCAAAGACCCTGCAAAGGCATGTAGAATGTCATGCAGAAGGCCCTGCAATGCCCTGCAATCCACGGCAAACGACCCTGCAGCACCCTGCAATGACCCTGAAATACCACCGGCCCTAGGCCGACATCGATCAAGGATATCTTGTTACTGCGTCGGGGCCCACTGGCGGTCCACTCAGGACCTCCCAGGGGCCGCGCGGGGGCTCCAAGAGGGGCCCAAGAGGGCTCGAGGCCCGAAGAGGGCCCCATTAGAAACCGAAGAGGGCCCCGATAGCGGAATGGGACATGCCCCCCACAGGAGTACACAGACCCCCCTTTGGGGGGCCCACGGGCCCCTTTTGGACCACCCCAGAGGCGGGTCCATAGACACTTCCGGGAGGCGCTGCTGGAATATATGTTTGAACCCTCCTGGGGCTGGCTTGGGGCCTTCTTGGGCCCTCCCGGGTGCCTCTTGAAACCTTCTAGGGGCCCTCCTTGGCCCGCTTGGGGTCGCCTCGGGTCCCGCCCAGAAACTTTCTTGGTGCCCTCGTAAAGCCCTCCTCGGGCCATTCTGAGGGATGGGGCCCTATTCGGTGCTCGTTCCGCCAGGGGCCTCTCGGGCCCTTCTCGGGGCCCGCGAAGGCGCCGAGAAGCCTCGGAGGCGCTCCCAGAGCGAAATACTGCATGTTCCCGATCAGGGCAGCTCGCCTGGGCATCTCCTCTGGGTGGGCTGGCGGAGATGCGCGACGCGTTAGGGGTCGGATATGGACCAGGAGATGCAGAGTGGCAGGTAACAGTGCAGAGACGCAAGCACGGGGCAAGTGCGCGGCGGGCCCCGCCCCATCGGCTGCGCGGACGGATTTGTCCCAGCTATTTCTCGGGCCCCCACCCATCGCGTCCACGCGTTAGCCTGCCCCGCCGAGGTCCTCCATTGTCGGGCAAAGGCGGTGAAAGCGTGACCACCCGCAGAGGTCGGCTCGCAACTCAGCGGCGCACCCCCGACCAAACCGAGGCCGCGCAGGGGGCAAGGCTCGCCGCGAGGTAACGCGTCGCGGGCGACTCGGCGCGTTTGAATACACAACGCCACATCCACTCCACCGAGCCCCAGTTCGCACTAGCACGGTCAAAGCAGCCAAAAAACAGGAAAACATCGCAAAACTGGGCAATCCCGCGGACGCGGTCCACGTCGAGGGTGGAGGGAGCTGCCCTCGATAGAGCCTCCACCTGCCCATCCATCAGCGAACCCGTAGGGGGCCGATGATGGGATACCTAATGTTGTTTTCCGTTGTTCGCGTTGCAGACTTTGTAGTCGGCGCGTGCGTTTCTCTCTCTCTCTCTCTCTCTCTCACACATTTTTTTTTCTCTCTCTCTCTCTCTCTCTCTCTCTCTCTCCTTCTCCCACCCTCTCTCTCTCTCTATCTCTCTCTCTCTCTCTCTCTCTCGTTTTTTTTTGTTTGTTTTTTTTTATCTCTCTCTCTCTCTCTCTCTCTCTCTCTCTCTCTCTCTCTCTCCCCCCCCCTTCCCTCCCTCTCTCTCTCTCTCTCTCTCTCTCTCTCTCTCTCTCTCGCGGCAGCTAGCTTGACGTTAGTGGCCGTGCGATGGCGGGGGTGCACTGGCAATCTGGAGGGCGCGACATGTCTGCGAGAGAGGGGCGGACGGGGCACGAGGGGCGGAGTTGGAAGGGCAGGGGGAGTGGGGGGCCGAGGGGCACGGGCGAGACTGATGCTGCACGTGACTGCGCAGGGTGCCCATTGCCTAGCCCACTGCCGATCTCACGATCGATCTCGCTCTATCGAACTCAGTCGGCCGGCCTCACTATCGATCCCACGATCAATCGCACTATCGGTCTCACGATCGGCCCCACTATCGATCCCACAAGGGATCTCGCTGCCCATCTCACTATCGACTGCGCGGACCCATGCCTGAGGATGAATGAAAGGGGAGAGGGCTCCACGGGCAAGTATGCGCATTGACCCAATGGAAAGATAAGACAGTGGCATATAGAACAGCATTGCCAAAATGAAACAACACCCCCTCCCCGCCAAGTAATCAGCACTCTTTGCTTCCAGGGCCAAGCTCTTGGCGAAGAAAGGGTCGCGCTGCTGGATGTCACTTAAATGCCGTAGTGTCCTCACCACGAACCTGTTTGTTGGATTCGGTTTCGCCTCTCCTCCTGTGGGCGGGGACAGCCTTGACACGCTGGGGCGTCTCGTCCCACTCACGCGTCACAATATGAATACGCAGGGAACTATCATCAGAGCCGAACGCTGCAGGCCTGTTCTGGATTGAACGAAGTCTTTCTCACATAGGAACCCTGCTGTACAAGGGCGGCCTTGTGCGCAACGAAAGCAGCTTCATTGTGTCGAAACCTGACGCATGTGCCACTGCCTTTGATCGTTGGTGCCATGGCCAACCTGATCAACGCTGCTGCTCGATGCAAATTCATGCCGACGCGGACTCTAGGCAGCCCGACGAATTGAGTAACAACGGGGGAAGAATTGGCTACATCGTGGACGACTCCCTCAACAGACTTTGTCCTTTTATCTTTTGCATCCAACTGTCGTCGCCGCCTCTTGATAGTTTGTCGGCTCCTGGCGCGTTCCATTAACTGGTACCTCCTCTGCTCATACTTCGGCCTGTCTCTAGGTCTCAACATGGCAATGAGCTGCTGCAGATCACGAGCCTAGTCGGGAACAGTGGAATGCCCTGGTGCTGAATCTGGGGCCTGAATCTGCTGAGCGAGGCCGTCGTCGACGGGCTGATTGGCATCTGGGGCCGCCTCTGCTGAGCGAGGCCGTCGTCGTGCAGCACGTTTTGATAACGAAACGCATCGCAACATATCTGCATGTTGAGTGCTGGAATACATACGCACACGCACAGCTCGAAAGCCAAAACGGCTTTAGGGGGGAAGCGAGGACGCGGAAATGGACTGAGAGACGAACGGACCCTTGTCAATTATTCAGCTTCCATGTTGTGTCCTCCCTCCCACACCAGAGGCATGACACTAGGCAGACGTAGTTTGTGCTACTGTCTACCGTGTGCCTTGCTGCACGAGCTAGTGTTTAAGATCATCGCGGGCTCATGGTTGTGTATTGCTAGTTTCGTTTGGGGCATCCTCACAGCGAGCGGTGCGCGACGAGAAACGATAAGAATGGGAGATTTGTGCTGGGGGGAAGAAAGCGCATAGACGGATGTTGTCGTTTTTTATTGGGGGGGTAGGGGGGTCAGTCGGGCGGGAGGAAGTTGCGCAATTAAGAAGCATACCGACCCCCAAAACACACATCACCTAAATCTGCATACCCCAATTGCCCTCTGAAGGCCCCTCCTCTACGGGGCCTCTGTGACAGGCCTTGGGCACAACCAAAGTTTCTTCATCGCTTTCCCCCTCTCCCTTTCTTTTTCCTGTCTTGTTGTTATGAATCCTCCCGTTCTCTCTCTCATTCTCTCTCTCTCTCTCTTCTCCCTCTCTCTCTCGCACAATGCACGTGCACATGCTCACACACCTATACCCTATACATATACACGCCCATGTCTGTATACCCTATACATATACACGTGCATGTATGTCATTAGCTTAAACGATCACCATCTATCTCTCTCTGTCTCTGCCTATCTTGCCCTCTCTCTCTCTCTCTGTCTCTCTCTATGCTTCTATCCCTCTCTCTCTCTCCCCTCTCTCTCTCTCTTTCTCTCTCTCTTCCCCCGCTCCTCAGTCCTGATAGAGTGATGGGGAGGGCGAGGATGAATACAAGAGCGAGGAGGAGGAGGTGGACGAGGACGAGGAGGCGATGCACGACACTCCCCTCGCCTCCCCTCCCTCCCTTCCGCCTTGTCCTCCCCCTCTCTTCTCCATCGACTCCATCGGAACACAGTAGGGGCCCGACCACAAGAAACCTTCCACACGAAATCCAACCCTGAGATCCTAGGACGCCCATTCATTTTTGGTGTGGGAACGTGACGTTTTACATCGCACAAACCATCGAGACCCACGAAACCCAGGGCACCCTGGAGACAAGCAGGGTGTTTCTTAGCATGGGTCTCCACTGTAAGGGGAGGGCGGAGGAGGGGGACGGGAAACTTCGCTCAAGGGGGGAACGTGCTCCTTCCCCATGCGTGAGCATTTGAACATGCGTGAACACCGAATCGACACACTCTACACTTCGTAATGCAAATTTCTGCGGACGTGCCAAGAAACACTCCCGAACTCATGTTCGAACCTCACGAACCTGGAGAAAAATCCGAAACAATACGAGTGAACTGGAAACCCTAAGGAGCCTTCCAAACCGTACGAGTCCATCCGAACAAACACATGCGGACGTCAGTGGAACCCTGCAGGCAATTCCCAAGCCGTCCGAACAAGCAAAATCGCAAGAACGAGACCACAAACTACGCACAGCTGCATCCCATAACGTTTGGGCATACACCTGGAAGCCGAGGGATGCCTTTCAGAACCCTCCGAAGAGATCCCAGAAGCCCCCAAACCATGGAGAAATATCAGAAGACATTGAAATCTTTCGGGGTGCTTTCTGACTCTGATTCCTAGCCGAATCCGTCCGTGACAACGAGGGACCCGCAGGAGGCCATACACCTAGAGAAGCAAACCTGCCCCCTTCTCCAAATCTTCCTCTTCCCCCCACCCCTCCCCCCCCGCCTCCTCCTTCTCCTCCTCGGTTCTCTCCCCCCCCCTGCCCGCACCCATGATGGAGAGTAGCGTGGACTTGCCGGCGCCGTTCGCGCCGCTGACCAAGACTCGGCTACCGCGGGGGAAGGAGCAACTGACGTCGACCAGCTTCGGCTCGCTCAAAGCCTCAGGAGGGGAGGGGGGAGAATATACGTAGCACCTCGCAGACGCGGATAAGAGTGAGGGGGCGGCGAAGACGTCGGCACTGAAGAAGCCCGCCGCAGGCGCCCAACTTTTAGAAATAATGCAGTGAGCCCGCCGCATGCGGCGATTTTTTTGGTTCAAACAATATGGGTGGGTCGCCGGGTGGGTCGCGTGTGGGTTGCGGTTGGGTCGCGGGTGGGTCGCGGGCCGGGTCGCGGGTGGGTCGAGGGCCGGGTCGCGGGTGGGTCGCGGGGTGGGTCGCGGGGTGGGTCGCGGGTGGGTCGCGGGTGGGTCGCGGGTGGGTCGCGGGTGGGTCGCGGGCTGGATCGCGGGGGGGACGACGACAACAAAAAACAATAATAATAACAACACCAACACCAACACAAATATCAACACCAAGAACAGCAACAACAACAACAACAACAACAACTACAATCCACACCGCAGAACCTGACTTCAGCCTTGCGCACTTGGACAATGCATGACCCTTCTGCCCAATCACTCTGACATTTTCTACCATGGCAAAACATCACGATTCAAGAGACAATTACTGTATATATATGTATATATATATACATCAATTAAACGATGTTTTGATGTGTGCGACAGATCCGAATGACGTTCTTGCGGTCAAACTAAGATTGCACGACCTAGATTCCACTACTGTGATTATACCACATAGGTTGCCTGGCCCCAATTCAGCGAGGGCCGTAGGCTGCGTGCAGGCAGGCGGACCCGCCTAATTAAAGACCGTACGACGAGCGGGAGCGAGAGGCCGAGGAAAAGGAGATGGAGGGACGAACGACGAGAGGGACGACGGAGGACACGCGAGTAGGGTTGCCTGCAGTCTTGCCGGCGCAACGTGTAAACGAAAGTGGGCCCGGATGGCTCTTGTAGATGGTGCCACGGCTGGTCTGGACACAATGCCCGATGTCGGCCCCCGCAGTCCCACTCTCGGGCGCCCGGGTCATCCAAAACTTACACGCGACGGAAGAACCACGACGTCGGAGGTCTGCTGACGGAGGGTGATCTGAACAAGATTTTTGGCGACCCCGATCCCCAACTTAAAAAGGACTTCGACGGGCCAACTAATCTGGGGCCCAACCCGATAAAATCCAACGAAGGGGCGTCCGTCCTCGGTAAGGGTGGGTTCCGAAAGCCCTCTTGAGGGCGCACAGAGACGCTGGAAATCGCCGTCATTAGACATTGGATGGGAAAGGAGGTGGCCCGGGATGGAGCAGCTGGCAGAGGGCCGACATGGGCCAGAAACACTTTTGGAGAGAGCGCGCCCGTGGCACACTCCCGAAAGAGTGCGGGTCCCACCTTAGCGTTAAGTCGGGCCTGTCCCTCTACAGGGGCAATGTTCAAAAATAGTCAGGCAATAGTCTGGGGACTATTGTTTTACTATGTTTGGGCAGTTGGGGAGAATTTTTTTGCGTATCTTTAATTTTCCGCCCAAAACCCCCTCCCGCAGGGGGACACGCCCGATCTAACCGTAGCTCCCCCCCCTTGGGACCTTCCCTGCTGGAAGCCCCTCCCCGCCTCCTGCTTTCTCCCCCTTCCTTTCCAAAAGGGGGGGGGCCTTAGCTTCCCCCCCCCCCTCCCCCTGGACCTCCCCCTGCCAGATCCCCCTCACCCCTCCATGTTGTCCGCCCCTCGGAAGACCCCCCTCCCTTGGACCTCCCCTGCTGGAAGCCCCCCTCCTCCTTTCTGTCTTCCCGCCCCTCGAAAGCTACCTCCCCTCCCCTGTCGCGCTCCAGAGGATTATCCCCTTCTTTTCCAAAAGGGGGGAGGGGGGGGGGGCCTTAGCTATCCCCCCCCTGCGTTTTCTGCGACATGGGCGACAAAAGGTGCAGACTGAAGCACGAAGTCATGATTTTGTCTTGCTTGTGACAAGCAAGATGTGGCCACCCGGATCTGGTCGCCATCGGCGGGCTAGGTGGCAGGGCGGGAATCCATGAAAGCAGCCAACGCCGATGGGACACGGCTTGGCCAAGACTAGCGAGTCATATAGCTCCGCGAGCCTCCTTCCCGCAGCATCACAATTAAGTGTGGAACAGAATGATGTTGGGATTGGAACGCGCTTCCACCGCGCAAACGGACACCGCTCGCGCGCGGCCCCGCTCCCGACTTGGCGGGACGGAAAATCACGCGGGCCGCGCAGGCGCGGGAGCGGGACAATTTCCGATGGGCGCGGCGAACACGAAGCATGCGCCGCGCTGTTACAGCACTGTCACTTTCACCCGCAAGATGCGCGGCGTTTGGGCGAGGCCGGCATTTCGCCGCTCTCGCGCGGTTCCGCGGGCGCTGTCGCTGTCGTGCGATTCGGCTAACGGATCACGCGCCGCCCCCGCGCGGGAACGCCACTTCCGAGCGACATGCGTATGGAACCTGGGCGTGGTCGACAAGTCGCCCACTCGCACGGACAAATTTGCGCCGCGTCGAGGCGGGACTCCCACTGTAAGGCTGAATAAATCTGCGCGGCGCCAAGGCGCAAACGACATTTTCGCCCGCTCGCGCTCGAGCGGGTGCTCAATCTTCTAGAACAGCGAGCGCGGCGCCAATGCGAGAGCGACGTGTCGGCCTTTCGCGCGGAAGGCGTGCCCCGCCCCGCTCAGGCCACGCATCTGGCAACATGAACGACGAAATTTCCATGCTGACACGAGAAGCATAAAATTTGTAGGATGGGACCCTATGGATCCAGTCGCTGCCGGCCGAATCTCGGACAAGAAATATTTTACACAAAGCACGAACAAGGATCAGAGCAGAAGAAACAAAAAACAGCAGATGAAACAAGTATTTGTTGTCGCAATCGCAGTCACAGTCGTAGTCCTAACCGCGGTGGTAGCAGTAGTCGTCGTAGTAGTAGTGGTGGTAGTAGTAGTAGTAGTACCAACAGTCGTAGTAATAGTGGTAGAAGTAGTAGCCGTAGCAGCAGTAGTTGTAGTAGTAGTAGTAGTAGTAGTAGTAGCAGCAGTAGTAGTAGTAGTAGTAGTAATAGTAGTAGTAAAGGTAGTAGTAGTAGTAGTAGTAGTAGTAGTAGTAGTCGTCGTAGTACTAGTACAGTAGTAGTAGTAGTAGTAGTAGTAGTAGTAGTAGTAGTAGTAGTAGTAGTAGTAGTAGTAGTAGTAGTCGTAGTAGTGTTAGTAGTAGTAGCAGTAGTAGTAGTAGTAGCAGTAGTAGTAGTAGTAGTAGTAGTCGTAGTCGTAGTGGTAGTAGGGGTCGTAGTCGTCGCAATCGCAGTCGGAGTAGTAGTAGTAATAGTCGTAATAGTGGTAGTACTCGTAGTTGTGGTGGTAGTACTCGTAGTAGCAGTAGTAGTAGTAGTAGTAGTAGAAGTAGAAGTAGTAGTAATAGAAATAGCAGTAGCGGTAGTATCCTCAGTCGTGGAAGTAGTCGTATTCGTAGTAGTCGTAGTAGCAGTAATCATAATGTTAGTTGTAGCCGTAGTAATGGCACCTATTAGTACGTTGTAGAGGTTGCGACACTACTTATGACGTAGTAGTAGTAGCCGTAGTAGTAGTAGAAGTAGTAGTAATAATGGTAGTAGTAGCAGTAGTTGTAGTAGCCGTAGTAGTAGTAATCGTGAGAGAAAAAATAGTAGTAGTAGTGGTAGTAGTAGTAATAGTAGTCGTAGTAGTAGTAGTCGTGGTGGTAGCCACTGTAAGAGTGGTAGTGCTGATGGTGGTCGCAATAGTGGTAGTAGTAGTAGTAGTAGTAGTAGTAGTCGTAGTAGTAGTAATAATAATAAAATAATCGTGGGTGTAGTAAGAGCAGTCGTCAAAATCATAGTTGTGGCCGTAGTAATAGTAGTGGTGATAATAGTAGTAGTAGTAGTAGTAGTAGTAGTAGTAGTAGTAGTAGTAGTAGTAGTATTAGTAGTAGTAGTAGTAATAGTAGTACGAGTCGTAGTAGTAGTAGTAGTAGTAGTAGTAGTAGTAGTAGTAGTAGTAGTAGTAGTAGTGATGGTGGTGGTGGTATTAGTGGTACTGGCGATAATAGTGGTAGTGGTAGTCGTAGTAGTAGTAGTAGTAGTAGTAGTAGTACCAGTGGTCGGAGTAATCGTAGCAGTAGTAGGAATAGTAACAATAGTTGTGGTAGTAGTAGTAGTAGTAGTAGTAGTAGTAGCAGCAATAGCAATAGTAGGTAGGAGTAGTAATAGTGGTAGTAGTCGTAGCAGTAGTGATAGCAGTAAAAATAACAGTGAAAGTACTGGTCATATTACCAATCGTAGTCGCAGTTGTATTGGTAATAAGAATAACCATGTTAATTGTAATCTGGATGGTAGTAGTAGTAGTAGTAGTAGTAGTAGTAGTAGTAGTAGAAGTAGTAGTAGTAGTAGGTAGTAGTAGGTAGTAGTAGGTAGTAGTAGTAGTAGTAGTAGTAGTAGTAGTATTAGTAGTAGTCGTAGTCGTAGTCGTAGTAGTAGTAGTAGTAGTAGTAGTAGTAGTAGTAGTAGTAGTAGTAGTCGTAGTCGTAGTAGTAGTAGTAGTAGTAGTAGTAGTAGTAGTAGTAGTAGTAGTAGTAGTAGTAGTAGTAGTAGTAGTAGTAGTAGTAGTAGTAGTAGTAGTAGTAGTAGTAGTAGTAGTAGTAGTAGTAGTAGTAGTAGTAGTAGTAGTAGTAGTAGTAGTAGTAGTAGTAGTAGTAGTAATAGTAGTAGTGGTCATAATGGTAATACAAATGGTGGTTATCGGGTGACGTTTGGCTTGGAACCAGTTTGTGGGGAAGTCGCTCCTGGACGGTTGGGGTGCCAATCGAAGGGGTAAGATTCCCGGATTCCTTGCGCTGAATGTGCAAATGCTGCTTGTCACTTATGATTGGATGCCTGAAACTTCTTACGGGTTCCCGAAGATCCCCGAGAAACCGTTAGAACGCATCTGGTCCTTGAGAACTCCTTGCCAGCGCTGATGACTCCTGCGGGCTCTTGAGGATTCTGAATGGTGCCCGGGTTCTTCCAAAGGGTTCCTCACGATTCTTGCGGTTTCCTATGAATTCCTACGGATCCGAGGAGATTCCTACGGGTTCGTGAAGATTCCCGAGGGTGCCCCTGGGCTCTCAGAGTGTATCCCAAAGACCCCTGTGATAATCCCGACGGATTCCCACGGTGTCTGTCCTCCACGATGTTAAGGATTCTCGAGGACGCCTGGTGGTTCCCGAAGGTTACCATTGGTCACGAAGGGTTTCCAATCATTTCTAAATGCTCCTGAAGAGCCCTCATGATTCCTGTTGATGTCGGAAGGCTCTTCAAAGTCCCCAGAGAATTCTGAAGTGTTTTTTTTTTTTTCGGGAGAACCACTGAAAACAGCTCGGAGTATATAGAAATCCTTGAGGATCAAAAACAAATCTATATGACTCAATCGGCTTCAAGAGGAATCAATCAGAAACAACAAGAATCAATCAAAAACAAAAACACCCTAGAAGAGCCAAGCGGAATCAACAATAATCCCAAATATGCCATACGAGTCACTACGGAACAATAAAAATCACTGTGTATAAATACGGATCATTAAAATCAATCGCATGAAATGAAAAATTAAATGAAATCGCTGAGACCAAATTGGAGTCAAACGGAAGCCATAACAATCAATGGGCACCAATCGAAATCAATAATCAATAGGGACCAACCGGAACCAATCGGAATCAATAAGAACCAGTCGGGATCAAAAATTACTCCGACGGAAGGACCCCGCATGAGAATCCTCTGGGCGAATCTGGAAAAAAAACCCTCACCGTCGTCCTCGTGGTTGGTGAAGCGTCCTGGCTGTGCCTTCTGCGTATATTTCTTCTCGCCCTGGCGCGGGCCCTCCCCCCGCTCCCTACGTTGCCCCCGACCTCGCCCTCTTGTTTTGGTTCTGGACATTCAGAAAGTGGCCCGGGAGTGATGTTCTGGGAGCACGAAAAACACGAAGTGGCCTACAAGTGGCTCCGGGCATTCAAACTGTGGCCTGGGAGTGGTGTTCTGGGAGCACGAAGAACACGAAGTGGCCTAGAGGTGGCTCCGGGCATTGTAAATGTGGCCTGGGAATGGCGTTCTGGCAGCGCGAGAGCCCGAAAGTGGCGACAGTTATAAGAATTGGATGACCCGCTCGGATGAATAACATGATCCGCGGGCCCCATAGGGAGGGGGCTCCCGCTTGAGACTTCCTCGCAATTCACTCACAAATGTGGCCTGGGAATGGCGTTCTGGCAGCGCGAGAGCCCAAAAGTGGCGACAGTTACAAAAATTGGATGTCCCGCTCGGATTAGTAACATGATCCGCGGGCCCCATAGGGAGGGGGCTCCCGCTTTAGACTTCCTCGCAATTCACTCACAAATGTGGCCTGGGAATGGCGTTCTGGCAGCGCGAGAGCCCAAAAGTGGCGACAGATAGAAGAATTGGATGTCCCGCTCGGGTTAGTAACATGATCCGCGGGCCCCATAAGGAGGGGGCTCCCGCTTGAGACTTCCTCGCAATTCACTCACAGACGAGGCCCAAGGCGAGTGAGTGAGTGAGTGAGTGACTGACTGACTGGTGATGATGATCATCATCATCACACTCTCTCACGCGCACACTCATCATCATATGTGAGTGCTGATGAGTCGGTGAGTGAATGAGTGAGTGAGTGAGTGAGTGTGTGCGGGATGATGAGTGAGTGAGTGAGTGAGGAATGAGTGATGATGATGATGATGATGATGATGGTGGGTTCCTGTTCCTGCGCGGGGTGTCCAGAGAAAACAAGAACCCCACTTTGGATGTGGGGAAGGATGGATAGGACAACGTGGGGTTCAACAAGAACCAATCGGAATCAATAGTAATCAAGCGGACTCAATAGGAACAAATAATAATCAAACAATATCAGCCGGATCCAACAATAATCAATAGAAGACCAAAAGGAACATCCGGAATCAGTAGCAACCAAGAGGAGTCAACATGGATCGATGACAATCCATAGGGACCAGTGGGTACCAATCGGAATCAGAAGGAAATCTACAAATCCATAGCAATCAACATTGACCACAAGGATCAAATTTTAATCAATAGGATGCGAGAGGAATCAATGGGAATCAATAGGGACAGATAAGGCTCAGGAGTCTCACAACCCAAACCCAAACTCAAACCCAAAGTAAACCCCCTCTGTCTATAAATAACATGACTCTCAAGTAGTAGTCGTAGCAGTAGTCGTAGTCTTGATATGTAACGCAGCAGACGTAATAGCAGCAGTAGTAGCAGCAGTAGTAGTAGTAGTAGTAGTAGTAGCAGCAGTAGCAGCAGTAGCAGTAGCAACAGCAGTCGTAAAAGTGGAGATAGTAGTCGTAATAATCGTAAGCGTAGCGAAAATCGCCGTAGTAGTAATCGTAATAATCGTAGCCGTAGTTGTAGTAGTCGTAGTAGTACAAGCAGTAGTCGTTGTAGTGGTTGTAGTAGCAGTAGTAGTAGTAGTAGCAGTAGCAGTAGTAGTAGTAGTAGTAGTCGTCGTAGTAATAGTAATCGTGGTCGTGGTAGGAGTAAGAGCAGTAGTAATAGTAGTAGTAATAACAGTAGTAGCAGTAGTAGTAATAGTAACCGTAGTAGTAGTGGTAGCAATCGTAGTCGTAATAATACACATCATTGTGCTACCAGCATACGGGTAACACTCGCAAGTGCGAAAGCAATAGCAATGGTAGTCGTAGCCGTAGCGATCGTAATAATAGTAGCAGCCGTCGTACTAGGAATCATAATATTGCGACGAGTGATGGCAGGAATAATAGCAGCAGTGATACAGAACACGTGGGGTAGACGTACGAATGGCCGCCGAAATACTCAGAACAATGATACGAATGGTAGTCGTAATCGTGATATTAGTAGTACTAATGATATTCAAATAGTACCACTCAGAGAGGCATGGCATGTGTAAAAACAGTGTTACCTAAAATGCGAATACTTGGTCGTAAGATTAGTTATAGCAATACCGAAAGTAATAATGGTAGTATTAGTAGTAGTAGTAGTAGTAGTAGCAGCAGCAGCAGTAGTAGTAGTAGTAGTAGTAGTAGTAGTAATAGTAGTAGTAGTAGTAGTAGTAGTAGTGGTAGTAGTATTTGTAATGCCAGTAGTTGTGGAAGTCGTAGTAGTCGTGGTAGTAGGTGTAGCGCTCGTAGTAGTATAAGCAGTAGTAGTAGTAGTAGTAGTAGTAGTAGTAAAAGTAGTCGTAGTATACAAATAAAAAAAAGCCGTCGTAGTAATCGTAAACATTAGGTATATAACAATAATGGTAACAATCGTGGTAATAATGGTAAGAATCATTGTAGTAGTGATAACTAAGGTAACGCAGTAGTAGTAGTGGTACTGGTTCTTGTCATCATAAGCAGGACATCGAAGCAATAATTATGACGGAAGTCGTACACTCAGTGCTCGTAGTGGTAGTAATCCACACTGTAGGAGTAGCAGCAGTAGCAGGAGTAATAGAACAAATGCTAGTAGTAGTAGTAGTAGTAGTAATAGTAGTAGTAGTAGTAGTAGTAGTAGTAGTAGTAGTCGTAATAGTAGTAGTACTAGTAGTAGTACTAGTAGTAGTAGTCGTAGTAGTAGTAGTAGTAGTAGTAGTAGTAGTAGTAGTAGTAATATTAAAAAATAGTTTTCAAAAATTCAGTATTGATGGAATGCGTTGTTGTAGTCAATGGGGTGGTATGAATAGCTGCTGCAGCCTATGACCGCCGCAACGTGCTTGTGAGCGCCAAAGCTTACCTGTCATCCGCACAACATGCATTCAAGCACCGCGCCATACCAGGAGGCGAAAGAGCCGGCCCGCCCCCCCGCGTAAGTTCAGCGCCGCTACTGGTGGGGGAGGGGGGGCCGTAACAGACGTTTAGGGTTCGCCGGATACAACAATTTCGGGCCCGATCGATATCCAACCGCGAAGCGCATCGCTGATCGAAAGCACGCGCTTTGGTATGATGACATGTTGCTTTTGTGTGGTAGCTCTTGACACCGGCTTGCGGGAACAAGCCCTGCGATTCGCTAACTGACCCGAGACCACTTCGCGTACGAATCCTAAAACAAGTCGCGGTCGGCCATCCCAGTCCAGGCCGAAAGAGCGATCAGCTTGGCAGGCGGCTTGATTTGAAGGGGCCCAGGGCCACACAAATAAATAGACACAAATCCTAGGATTCTCTATAATTCTTATGTTTTCTGGACGTTCGTCGTCCCCTCCACTTCCCATACCATCCATGTATTCCTGGGTACAGACGATGATGCGTGTCTGTGTGCTTCTTCCCCTCCTGATGATTGAGTTCTGACCGACGAGCCTGGGCCTTCTAAGCTCAGGGCCCGGTCGTGGATGGTGGCGCCGCCGCCGTAGCGGTAAGTCAGCTCCTTGGGAGGACGAGGGCTGTAAGAAGAAGGCGGGAAAGGACAATGGGGAGGAGCAGGAGGATGCGAAGGAGGTTGCAAGGAAATAGGGGCAGGCGGAGGAGGTGGAGGAAAAGGAGGACGAACTCCTTGACTTCCAGTGCTGGGCTGGCGTCCTCCATTTCCACATCCTCGCTGGCGGTCTCTATGCCAGTTGGGGGCTTGGCGGCCCCCGAAATGTTGGAGCTCCAATCGGTGGGAAACCTGTTGCACACCATGATGCTCGAAAAGACCCTCCGCGCAGCTTCGATGATCTGTCCGCTGGTAGGGCTGGACCTGTCCTTGAACCAAATGGGCTACGACAGAGGGGGAGGGGGAGGAGGAGGAGGAGGAGGAGGAGGAGGAGGAGGAGGAGGAGGACCAGTGCAAACCAAAGACGGATCAACATTCCCACCAGCCCTCTGGGCGTAGGTTGTTTAACGAACTTCGGCTTCTCTCTGCCAAAACTCCTCCTTCCCCTGGACGGGGGAGGGGTTGATCACTGCTCCTGATTAACATATATATACATATATATATATATATACACCCCCTCCCCCAGGCGACCGGCAACCAACCAGGAACGATGCCGACCTTATGATGACCCACCTCAACCATCACTGCCAAAAACAATATCAAGCGCACTACGCCTCCGAATTCGGAGCATGCGCAACCAACCCGATGCGCCCCCCCCCCACGATTCTGGTCAAAAACAAAACAAGGGAAACTCTTGGACGAAGTCTAGTCATGTTCGTGAGGCCCGCGAGCACGTTGTATTGCTTATTGCTTCTTTGCAGGGACGGCGGGGATGTCAGCAGACTGCCTGCTGTGCGCAGGGCCACCATCCTTTTCAAACATCAATAATAAATGCACCTCCAGGATACATCTGGATCATGCGTAGCCACCCCGCGATCACTGTCGAGTCGTTTGTGACAGGGACGGTGGGGCTGGTGGCGTATGGCCTGCTGTGCGCAGGGCAACTAGACACAAGGATGAGCGCTGGTTTTCGACAAGGATGGTGGGGGCCAACATGTTTCCCGATGCTTGCTGTCACGTGCGTAAACGCACCTGACGCACTCTGCACGTGCCCCGAACGTGGCGCACCTGGCCCGGCTGGAGTATGCGGCACACCTGGCGCACGTGGAGCACGTGGCGCATCTGGCGCACCAGGCGTGCCTGGCACGCTCGGGCCCTAGGGATACCTGGCGCGCGTGGCGCACCTGGCACGCGTGGCGTACCTCGTCCCAGCGTCGCGCACATGGGGCCGGTTTTGGATCAAAGTAGCTGCCCATCCAACGACGACCGCTGAACATGCTCAGGATCGGGTGTTACTTATGTGTTGGGAGGGCGGGTGGGAGTGAGCAAGACGGCTTGCTGTCTAGGAGGGTGTCTTGACCCCTCCCCCTACCCTCTTTCCCTGGGCCTGGGAGGGGGGGGCGGAGGGGCTAGAGCTTCCAATATTGCCCATCGATGTTTCCAAGAGGGTCTCAGAGAGCCCACGATGGCCTCCGAGATTGCCCAAGATACCTCAAGATGGCTGAAGATAGCCTCCGACAAACATCCACAAGGCCTCAAGGCGGCCCCAAGACGGCCCCCAGATCGCCTACGTAAGAGCGTCCCAAGAGCGCCCCAAGGCGCCATTGTTGAGCCTCCGATGGGGGGGGGACCTGCATTTTCTATTCCCCCTCTTTTGAACTGAGTGCCCAAAATTGCATCAAGAGGCCTTCCAAGTCCCCTAAAGAACCCCAAGAGGGCCTCTAGACCCCCAAAAGAGCCCCAAGAAGGCCCCAAGAGTGCCCCAAGTAGCTCCGCGAGGACCCCAGGAGAGACCCAAGATGGCTCCAAGAGACCTCCGAGACAACATTTCCAAGGCCGTTGTTACACTGCATGCTTCTACATTTCCCTTGTCAAGGCAACTCGTCTGGCGATCTGGTTCTGGATTGGCTGGTGGGCATACTTTTTCGGTCGCGTCCGCAAGCGAAGGCGCAGGCGGAGTCAGAAGCGTTCCGGGGCGCGGACACGGGCCTAATTAGCTACTGGCAGCGCCGCAGGCCGGCCGGGCCCGAACATTTGGCGTAGCCCAACGCTTGCTGCAACATTTGGCTTAGAAGTTCTTCTGGCGGGACGCTAGCCAATGATTCGGATCATATGTTGCACACGTGCTGTCCAAATCTACCAGGTGTTGTGTAACCGTGGCGTTGTTTCAATCCTTTTCTGCTCTTGTGCTGTTCTGTTGATACCCGTCCGCTTGGCGAACTGCTTGGTACATCTGCCTATGGGCACATGGTCCTGGTCCTGGTCCTTTAATGTGCTGGATACTTTGGCTAAGACATGGCGGCAAACGGCAAACCATTGCCCACATGGCATCCCCTCCAGGAGCCCCTACCCACATCCGTCAATCTGCCCCCAAAGTGGTTCCCCGAGACTGTTCATGAGAGCCTGGTAGAACGCAGTGATGTTGTATCACATGCGGGTTGCTACGTACGCACGTTTTAATATGCCTGTGGATGAACTGGTTCCAAGGTCCTTCTCGCGAAGCGTCTTCAATCAAAACTGCGTTTTAATGTTTGCCTCGTTATGCCCTCGCGCGAGCCGAGATGCCGGTCCGGCGAGTCCACATTGCGCGCGGGAGGCCACAGCAGATGGCCAGAGGGGCCGCCAGACCAGAGCTGAGCGGGACGCAAGAAAGTGCCTGCTTCGCTGCACGGCCAGCAGTGAAAGCACAGGGTCTGACAACGCAGCCATTTGTCGAGCGGCGCGCCGATCTGCCCCAGTCGCGCACGACAGCATGTGCGCACTGGCTTGGGATTGCGATCAAAAGACGTCGGAGGGCACCCCATGCCCTTCGACGGCAGAGGACGGCAGAAGGAGAATGCTGAGGCGCCCCTCGACTGCAGAGGGTTGAAAGGCAGCGCGAGCGTGCCAAAGCCCCGTCCACCATGTAGGCCGGCCACAGATCCCGACGACTCGAACAGGCCGCCACTCGGCACCGACGGACACAAGAGGATCACGGTCCTCCTCCTGGCCTCAGGTCGGGCGTGTCCCCCTACAGGCGGATTTCGGAGGAAAAAACTAACATATTGATATTCAAAAAATACTAAACAAAATCGTCCCCTGACTATTTCTCTGCTATTTATGAAAATTCCTCCTCTAGAGGGACTGGCCCGATTTAATCCTGGCCCCCCCCCCGGCCGCAATCGCGTCGGTCCAGGCGCGTCGGTCGAACCTGGTCCTGGCAGCATTGACCAAGTCGGCGCAAACAGACCTGTCGGCACATGGCTCGGTGCAAGCATCGGCGCCTGAGCCGGACAGGACGGGGGTTGTCGAGGGACGGATGAGGAGGGGAAGGAGAGGGAAGAAGAGCTCGTGAGAATCCGCGTGGCAGCAGCAGGATAAATAATGCATAATGCCGACGCCTTTGGAGCTCCACAAAAGCGGCTTCCAAAAATCGAAAGAATCAAGGAACCCTCTTGGAGGCTTTTGTGGGAACGGCTGCTACGGATATCAAGCCCTCGTACAGGCGGCGCGTACGGCGCAGCCCCAGGGAGCCGGGTCCCGCTCTGACCCAACAGATCCACGGGGAGCGCCGAAAGCTATGCAGATGTCCGTTCGTGGCTCCACGGAGGAGGGAACCTCAGCAGAAAAGCACGACCGGCAAGCTTACACCTACGACTTGGCAGCGCCCGAGCGCGCCATGCGCAGCCTGTTTGTGGAACCGCAGCGGAGGGGTGCTCGAACCGTACGGGTCTTCTCGAGACCATCTCGCGACCCAGAAGCACAGCACATCTCAGGGCTCCACCCCGAGAGCATGGGCCCCACATGGATTCTGCTGACGACCGCTCCTCGAAATTGAAAGCGGAACGGCCAACAGAGCAGAGCCAAAGCAGAGCTCCTCACCATATTCCTCTCCCACTCCTCCCTCCTTCTTCCTGCTCCCTTCCTGGTCTTTTCCCACACCACCGACACGTCATTGTCCTCTCTCGCCCTTGCCTTCGGCCTTAGGCCAGAGTGACCCATGCTGCGCGGCTTGCCGATCGGCATATATATATATATATATATATATATATATAATATATATATATATGAAAGAGAGAGAGAGAGAGAGAGAGAGAGAGAGAGGCGTGATCCACCGCCGCTTTACTGTGGAAAATTGCCGCCCTTTTCCTCCGGAACCCGGGGTCCCCCCCCCCCCCCTCCGAAAATCCCCCCCCCCCTGCTGGAACCCCTCCCCCCCCCCCCCCCCCCCCCCCCTAACCCCCCCCCCCCCTCGAGCTCGAAAACCGGGGGGGGTCACTACCGGTTCGAACCCCCCCCCCCCTCGAAAACCGGAGGGGGGGTCACTACCGGTTCGAACCACTGAGCTGTCCCACTGTTCCCACCACTGTCCCCACTGTCCCCACTGTCCCCACTGTACCATTGTCTGTCCCCACTGTACCTCTTTCCATTGTCCTACTCCTCCACACATTGTCCCCACCACCACTGTACCCTCCACTGTCCTACTGTTTCCACCACATTCCCACTGTCCCCACACCACTGTCCCCAGCACCACCGTCCCCACCACTGTCCCACTGTCCCCACTGTTCCCACCATTGTCCTCACCATTGTCCCCACCACTACCGTCCCCACCACTGTCCCACTGTCCCCACCACTGTCCCGCTGTCCCCTCACCACTGTCCCCACCACCACCGTCCCCACCACTGTCCGCACCCCCCCTCGGTTTTCGAGGGGGGGGGGGGGTTCGAACCGGTAGTGACCCCCCCCGGTTTTCGAGCCGGGGGGGGGGGGTTCGAACCGGTAGTGACCCCCCCCCTTTTCATGATGAACTGGGGGGGGGGGGGGAGGGGTTCGAACCGGTAGTGACCCCCCCCGGTTTTCCGGAAGGGGGGGGGGAGGGGTTCGAACCGGTAGTGACCCCCCCTGGTTTTCCGCCAGCAGCGGTAGAACACGCTCTTTCATATAATATATATATATATATATATATATATGGTACCGGGCTCCGGGCCCACGGCCCCCCCCCCCGATGGTATGGTCCCAAGATTCCTCGGCCCCCCCCCCCCAGATGGTATGGTCCCAGAGACGACGCCGACGACGACGACGACCACGACGACGACGACGGCTGCGGCGGCGACGACGCTGGCGGCGGCGG